TGTGTTTGGGGGGGGGGCGGCCGGGGGGTTTCAGCCTTCAGCTGTCAGCTGTTTTCTTTGGAGTAATATGGCCCTCACCGCTTTACGAGTTGTGCACGCCTGCTCTAAAGTGAGGTCCTTTTTATGCATGGTGAAAAATCTGTGACTGGTGCAAAGGGCCGCCTGGTTGTTATGCAAAACAAAGTACAGAGGACTACAGGACAGCATAGAGCGCTCTCTCGTTCTGGGTGAGGTGACTGTCCTATGGTACCAGGAATTTAGTTTTAGGACAAAGAACTGCAAATCTACAAAACAGAGGCTTAAAAGAGCTGTGTAACCCAAGGAAGGCTAGGTTTAGAGTTCAAGAAGCACTTGAAGTGTACAAACTAGAGGGGCAGAGACAGGCTGTCACCTTCAGGAAAGATGACATCTCAGAGGATCTCATTCTCTCACCTTTTAACTAGTCCTCTTAATGTGCTTTAACACAGAAGCTTGAATCCTACAGAAGCTAGCTCTTTGATGAAAAGCTTCTGTGGGAAATATGAGAGAGCTGGGATTCTGGCTTTGTGGCCAGACAGACTCCTGTGCTGCAGCAAGAAGAAAACAACTGTTTCTCCAGCTTGAGTCCTACCATGTGCAGAAAGTTGACCTCTGCAGTTGTCTCTGGCCACTACTTGGATTGTGACCAGAGAAATGCAGAAACAATCTACCTCAAGTGTTTCTCTTGCAGCCTTTCTTGTGGGATCTTCAAGTGTCATTCTACAATCCCCCTGCTTTCACTGACTGAAACCTCTGTTACCTTCATTGGCTGAACTTACTCCTGGAGTTATGACAGATCAAAGCAGCAACAGTCAACCTGTATCCCACCTCCCACTGTTAGCGAAGTTATTGAAAAGGTTGTGTTGGGGTAACTCAAGCAGTTTCTTGATTCCTCAGATTTTCTTGACCTTGGTCAGTCATCTAACTATAGACTTAGATATGGAGCAGAAACCGTATTGGTTGCGTTATCTTCTTCCAAACAGTGGATGAAGATAGTCTTTGCTGATTTTTCTAGATCTGTTCATATCCTTTAATTCTGCTGATCATGAGACTTTATGGAGTTGTGGGTGAAGACCAGTGGTTCTCAAACTTTTGTACTGGTGACCCCTTTCACATAGGAAGCCTCTGAGTGTGACTTCCCCCCTTTTAAATTAAAAACACATTTTTATATATTTACCATTATAAATGCTGGAGGTGAAGCGGGGTTTGGGGTGGAGGCTGATAGTTCGCGACCCCCCATGTAATAACCTCATGATCCCTTGAGGGGTCCCGACCCCCAGTTTGAGAACCCCTGGCGAAGACTAACAGGTGTATGGATCTGCTCTTGAGTAGCTCTAGTTCCGTCTTTGAGAGAGTACATAGAGTAACTGAGGCAATTATTAATTTGCTCTGAGGGTTCTTTCGCAGAATGCCATAGGAGTATAGATTCTCATTTCTCTTGCTCAATGTGTATGAGACTGTGAGGAGAGCTAATGAGATATGAGGTGGCAATGCTTTCCCTATGCTGAAAACACTTAGCTATGTTTGGATGAGCGCTAGTTGGCTGCGACTTAATCCAGATAAGACTGAAAACAGTGTTGGTCTGCTGGGGGGAAGTAGCTGGAACAGAACTTATTGAGGTAATGCAATCACCGTTAGCAAAAGAGGTGTGTAACTTGGGGGTAGTGTTAGAACCTGCGATTCCCCTGTATGCAAGAGTAATGGCTGTGGCGAAGATGGCTTTTTACTATCTTCACCTGTCAAGATAAATGTATCCCTTTTCTCTTTGATACTCTTCTCCCCCTTCCCCCCCCCCCTTTCGAAGGTAGATTTCTATAATGCACTCTCCATAGGCCTATAGAGCATAAAGAAGCTGAAGCTAATACAAAACATTGTAGCCTATTTGAGTGCAGCTCCATGAGCCGTACTGGCTTCCAGTAAGCTGCTAAATGGCATTCCAAGTGCTGGCTTTATAGGATAAAATGCTGAATGGTACAGGACTGTGTTATCTGAGAAGTCTGTTGCTTGCTGGATTTATGCTGATTCTGACTGCTTGTACATTGTTTGGCTGAAGAAATGCTTTGCACAAAGGGAGTGCATGCCTTAAAGAGGCTAGAGGCAATATTTTGTCATTGTTCCCATCCTCTTCCCTCTCTTTCAGTTAACTGGAGTATACATTCATAGAGCTGTGCTCATATGTATGCAAGGCAGAATTTAAAATAATTTTTAAGTAGCCTCTGCCAATTCTAGGGATGAATTGGAGTGGGGCGGAGCAGAAAAGGTGTGCTTGAAGGGCCAATGGACTGTGAGGATTATGAACTGGGGGTACCTGACTACATGGTATGGAGCTGTTTCCAGGCACTTGTTTACTCCGAAACTGGAACCAAAATAACTTGTTTGTAATTCACACCATAAGTTTTATATAAGAGTGCTCTTATTATGAAATGTCTGTCTGCACAGACTTGCACCAAAGTAAGGGCTGGTCTATGGGGTGGGGATCGATCTAAGTTGCGCATCTTCAGCTGAATAACATAGCTGAAGTCGATGTCCTTAGATCTACTTACCATGGTGTCTTCACTGCGGTGTGACGATGGGAGAAGCTCTCCCGTCGATTCCCTTTGTGCTTCTCGTTGAGGTGGAGTACCGGAGTCGATGCTGGAGCGATTGGTGGTTTATTTATTACGTCTATACTAGACACAATAAATTGACACCTGCTGGATCGATCGCTGGTATTGTAGACCAGCCCTAACAGTGTGAATTACAGTTTATTTCGTTATTTCTATTGCAGGTTCCGTGTAGGCAGGCCCCTGGTCTTTGGAATGCAGGAGATGGATGAAATAGGAACTAAGAGAATGGCAGATCATGGAGGGGAAGGATAATGGGAAAAATGTGCAGTAGTCCAGTGGGGGTGATCTAGAGAAGGATGGAAAGAATTGACAAGGAGAGGGAGCATGCAGAGGGATAGGGAAAGGCAAGAGACTTCAAATACTTCATTTTCTAGAAATAAAAATTAATTTTTGTGTTGAGTTAAATCCTCCCTCTCAAAAGCTTTGTCTTCACTGCAAAAAGTGTTTTTTTTGCTTTTTTAAATTTGAATAGCTGTCTTAATGTAAAATTCTAGTGGATCAAAGGCTCAGATGACATTGTAACTGGTCACGGTCAGCCCTACAGCCTCACCTGGGGCTGATTTCAACCAGCTACGTTGAGGTACAATTTTCCCTATTCCCTACCAGGACTTTACATCCTTGATGGAGAGATGATTTTTTTCACCCCTCCAGTGAGGGCACAGATACCTCCATCTCTCTCTCCCCCTCGCTCCTTCCATAAATTTGCTAAAGTGTGCAGGAGGAGAACCCAGTTTTTGTGACCCTTTTCAGATTTGCCAGAATTGAACTCTCGTCCTTCAGACCTTGTACACCAATCACACTTTTGCAGCTCCGCCAGAAAATTGTTTCATTGTCTAGTCTATCTGGAACTCAAAATGAATGTTAAGCTTCTCCAGAGAAATTCTACACCTTTTTTTAAATGTTCCAGATTTTTAAATACTGGGAAATGAGTGGTTGGGAGCAACATTAAGTTCAAAAAATACTTTCTAGTAGATCATATAACCCCATTTCCTATTCAAGGGATTGTCAATAATTTTTTAGTAACTTGTGTTGACTCTTGCACATACTATTGCAATTGTTAGGGGACAAGTTTAAGGCTGACTGGTTGATGTAAATCGGTGGGGGGAGAAACACTGGGATGCTTGCTGGATTCCTTAACTGGGCTTTTCCAGATGTCTTAACCTTTTATATAAAAAAGGTGTAGAAGTTTGTAAAGAGTGCAATATCTGATGGTCCAGGGACATCTACATCGAGCACATCACCAGCCACCGACAGTACCAGGAGGCGTGAGCTAGAGTAACATCATTCTTCCACTACGAGAAAGGGACCAAGTGACCTTCTCCGTTGGATCATATGAACTGGAACCATAAACTCCCTAAACATTAAATCTCACCAAATGAGGGTCAATCCATCCTCATCATCATATCAACTCATTATACTCCATAACCGAACACAATCACTCTATGAACTTCATACCCTCATATCTCAATGTCTGTACTTTGACCCATCAAGCTTTTACCCCCAATCGGGGATATTGCAGATTATGTATTCCTCATGCCACCTGATCTTAAACCAAACTTTGCACCCTCAATAATCTGTATGTTATTCCCTGATAACCAGAAATGTCTATGCTCAAACTCTGTTCACAAATTTTTTTTTAACCTCTTAATAAAATTTTAAAATTTGTTGTGGGGTGGTAGCTAGCTTCCAAGGAAGGCTTTCAGCTGTTTGTCAAGTAAGCTTTTGTTTGGAAATAAAGGAGCAGTAAGGGTGCAAACACTTTTTTGTGGTGTACTTCACTTTTAGCTAGGTAAGTCTGATCAGAATAGTAATTGTAATTCTCAGCACACAGTTACAAATCTACCAGCTAGTGTTTTCATAACTAGTTAGTGGCTGTTGGTGGTAGAGATGAGCTTAAAAATAAACGTGCCACTGTGAGTGGAAGTGAAAATGTATTAACAATGAAGCCAGGTCTTCTGCTTATTAAATCTACCTTACCCTCAAGCATTTTCTGCCCATGACTATTTACATAGATTGTAACCAAAAAAGGAACTCTCTTAATCGCTTTTAGCTGCAGACTTGGCTTAAAGAATTTCCTCAAAATTGCAAGTTCAGTCATGTCCTAATTACATGAGAAATAAAATGCCTGAGGCCAATAGCAGCGAGGGCAGATGGGAACTCTCTCTCTATCAGAAGCACAAGGGCTTATAAAACCATTAAACAATCCTGTTAGTCCCTTGTCTTCCCAACCATGACTTTTCTTTCTTCCTCAAAATTCTGGCAGTGCCCAGATACTAGCAGGACCGTGTGTGCTAGTAATTAAGGGGAGAAAGGACCAAGAGTCTAAATGTCCTAACAAGTTCATTTGAGGTAATGATGCATGATAGCTATAGAAAAATTCTCATTGACAGACAAGGCATTTAACCCATAATAAATGTTTCTGAAGTGAAACAAAGAACCACCTAGCCATGAGAAAAATTAATCCTGAAGGAATTGCAGCTGACAAACCATCTGAGAATAGTTGCACATTCTTTCATTTATACTTTTGTTTGTTTGCTTTAAACAAAGGAAAGTAGGAAGATGGAGAAAACACCCCCTCACCCCCTCCCCAAATTATCTTAAAGGATTGAAGAAGGAATTCAGTTAAAATCTTTTTAACTCTAAACTTCTATAGAGCTATATTATTGCCTCTCTTCAGATGGGTGTAAAAGACTTATAGTGCAACAGCAATCCAGTTGCTTTATTAAAGGGGGGAAAAATGAATCTTTGACATTTAGTCCCTTTCCTACCTACAGGAATCTTCTCTCAGGCCTTGGCTACACTTGCGAGTTACAGCGCTATAAAGGCTCCCCCAGCGCTGTAACTCACTCCCCGTCCACACTGGCAAGGCATTTGCAGCGCTGTATCTCTATGGTTGCAGCGCTGCATATACTCTACCTCTCCGAGAGGAATAGCGAGTATTGCACTGCCGCTGTGGTGCCAGTGTGGCCGCCCAATGCGCCGTGAATGGCCTCCAGAATTATTCGGCAGTATCCCACAATGCCTGTTCTAGCCACTCTGGTCATCAGTTCAAACTCTACTGCCCTGGCCTCAGGTAACCAACCATGTGACCCACCCTTTACATTCCCTGGGAATTTTAAAAATCCCCTTTCTGTTTGCTCAGCCCGGCGTGGCGGGGAGTGCTATCAGCGAATCTTTCCAGGTGACCATGCCTCCATGCGCCAAGCGAGCCCCAGCATGGAGCAATGGCGAGTTGCTGGATCTCATCAGTGTTTGGGGGGAGGAAGCTGTACAGTCCCAGCTGCGCTCTAGCCGTAGAAATTACAATACCTTCAGGAAGGTATCAAAGGACATGATGGAAAGGAGCCATGACCAGGACGTCCTGCATGCAGGATTAAAGTGAAGGAGCTGTGAAGTGCCTACCGCAAAGCCTGCGACACAAACGGCCGCTCGGGTGCTCCCCCCGCGACCTGCCGATTCTACAAAGAGCTGGATGCGATACTTGGGGTTAACCCCACCTCCACTCCGAGCACCATCATGGACACTTCAGAGCTGGTGTGTGTGTGTGTGTAGGGAAAACGGGAGTGATGGTGGTTGGCCGGATGGAGACATCCCGGAATCTCTGGAGCCATGCAGCCAGGAGCTCTTCTCGAGCCAGGAGGAAGGTAGCCAGTCGCAGCGGCCGGTACTTGGTGGAGGACAAACAGAAGAGCAGGTTCCCGGTAAGCGGGTTTTTTTTTCGGGAAGGAATTTTTTCGGTGCGGCCTCTTTGGGAGAGAAGGGTTAGGCATGCACGCCTAGATGCGGAATAGTGCATTGATGTGGTTTATCACATCGCGGTAATCGGCCTCGGTAATCTCCTCGAATGTCTCATCCAGAACGTGTGCAATGCGCTTGCGCAGGTTTATCGGGAGAGCCACCGTGGTCCTTGTCCCAGCCAGGCTAACGTGTGTGCGCCACTGTGCCGCGAGGGGCGGGGGCCCATTGCTGCACACAGGCAAGCTGCATATGGGCCAGGGTGGAAGCCGCAT